TCCCCATGAGCTTTTGTACACAACTTGAGTCAAGACAACCGAAGGTTTATGTGCAATCAATATTAACCATTTTGCTGCCCCCAAAAGGGTAAAAAACAGTACAACATTTGTCCAGTAGAAGTGACAGCTTACTGGAGGGGGTGATAGATATCTGAGAAAGTCTCTTACACTTTCATGGACTAGAAAACTGAGTGACTGGGGTATCAATTTCCAGTTCAGTTCTTTCTGTATAACAACCCTAACTGAAACTTGATTCACTCAGTTTCTTAACCCTAATTCACTGGGTGACCAATGCTAAACAACGCCGGGAGTAGCTTTCAAAATTTGACCTGATGTTCTGAACTGGACTGTATCTTTACCGCAGTTGATTTACTTTTGACTAATATCGAACAAAAACTACAATCTTCTGATACGATATCAATGATTTGGCAAAAACTGCCTTGTTGTCTTTAATCTATTTTGCAAGTGCACTAGGATAAAAGATCGTTTTTTTTTTCATGCAAATGTCAACAGAAAGAATGATCTAGAGGGTAAACGGTTCACTACCTTACGATTGGAAAAGTGTCAAAATGTCGAGATTTCACGGTTCTATGACTCGTACAGAAAATTGACCATTGATTAGAGCTAACAAGCAGCATAACTTTCATTTGACTGCTGGTTGCGTCAAAGAGAACAGTACCTCGCAGTTTCCGTTGTAAGTACGCTGCTTCCTTTTCACTTACATAATCAATTATTCCTATTTTCTAAAGTGTTTCTCAGTGTTTTTGGCTGAAGAAGCAGTTGGTTAATTGGTGATTAGGCTAGTGCTCTGAGCTTGTCTTCCACATAGCCATAGGGTAAGTTCGGGTTTTCGGTCCCAGAAGCTCATACATAAGTTGTGTTTGCGTTTGCTGATGATTTTCGTCCCTACATGCAAGCGATTGTCTACAGCATAATTTTGGGGCTAACTGCTTGAACGGGAGAAATCTTAATGTGGAACAGTTGAGGTTCAACTTCATTTTGTAGGCGATACTAAACTACTTGGCATGAAGATAGACAACTGTTTTTAAACACCGTATCGAATATAGGAAAGCGACTTGGCCTTTTGAAAAGGACTGATAAATTTCTGACTGATCTAAACTGAGAACTTTTTTTTACAACTCACTTATCCAGCTAATATTTGCCTACGGGGGTTATTGTCTTGGGAACATGCAATGAAGCAAACGAGCCGCACGTCCAAGGCGTAATCAATTTACAGAAACGATGGACCAAAGTAATCCTAGACAAAACATGAGACACGCCCCTTGGGGCCTTTATTTAGAGACCTTAACGTCATGCCATGATTTGATAAAAGATAAGTAATTAAAAAGTCCCAGTATAGTATCTCAGTCCATAGCTTTTCTATTTTTGGAAATATTTTGATCCGCGAACCACAACAAGCAATTACCCCATCACGGAGCAAATTTAGAGTCACGTGACTTGAGGCATGTTTTCATGAACTTTCTGTATGACAAGAGTAGTCTAGCATGCGTCGCAGCCGCTCTAAGCCTTCTGTATAGAGCGTCTGCAAATTTGTCGCAAAGATATATGTCAGTGTTTTGTTTGGCTAGTTTCTAAGGGCTAAGCTGTTCTGTTGCTTCAGGAAGGCCAAACTGAGATCCCATGCCTATTAAGAGTTTTTTAACTTGATTGCCTTGGCCTGTGAACCCGTAAGGTACGTGGAGGGCGCAAAGGAGAGGCAAATGACACATGTCCTTATTCTGTTAAAAATGATTTTTAACACTTTCTGTCAAAGAGTACGCCTGCTAATTTACTGTAAGAGAGATTTCCAGGAAAAGCCAAACATCAGGTTGACATCTTTCTTTAACAAAACTCGGTGAAATTTGTTTAATCGTTGCTCATTTTCAGTTTGCGTGCTACCATAGTCATTCTCCAACAAAAGAACTTTGTTTAGAAGAAGATAATTTTCATGGTTCATAACAAACAGAAGCTTCCTGTTTGACGCTTGCTGTTAGGCACTAAAACTACTCTGTAACTCTTGAATTTTTAACATTTCTGGAGGATTTTTTTCTTGACTCGTAAATTGAAAAGTTTGGCTCGAAGTTTTAACTCTAAATCGTAGAGAGAGATGATGAAAGTTAAATTTCCTGAGCCCCTAAAGTTTAGTTTCATATTAAGTAAAGGCAGTTAAAATGGAATGCTTGCATTCTATTTCTCTGAAAAAGATAGACTGCTCGCAGTCCGCCTTTTCTCTAAAAGTCTGTCTACTTCTTATCTAATCCAGCGGGATTGCAAACCACGATACATTATTATTTAGGGATTGAGGCGAGACGAGAAAAGACGGACTGCTGACTCTTTTGTAGTAAACAAACCCTCCGTCAGCCCAGAAACGGAGTAACCGATTGGTCAGTTGCTCAGCTGATGACAGATCATTGACTGATTTATAGTGAGATTGTAAACAATAAAAAAAAGTCACGCGTCACAACCAACTGCAAACAATAGCGAACCAAGCAGAATCTCA